ATGGTAAGGAGCGTAACATTTCCGTCACACGCTTGCGGTATTCGGCCAATCACAACGCTCTGGATAGCTGGCCAATCAGAGCACACCTCGCTTTTAGCATAGAGGAGAAACAATAATGTACAGTATGTGGAAAATAATGTTTTTTTAACCTTAATCCGCATAAACACATTTCATTACACCAAATACACAAAATAATGTTCTTTTTAACAGCATCATATGACCCCCTTTAAAGAGATTTATATTGTTACAAAAGAATCCTGTTTCAAATAAATGCTGTTCTTTTGAACTTTCTATTCATCCAAGAATCCTTAAAAAAGTAACATGATTTCCATAAAAATATTAAGCAGTGGCACTATTTTCAATATTAATAACAACAAAATAATAATAACGATTCTCGAGCACCAAATCAGTAGATTAGAATGATTTCTGACAAATCATGTGACACTAAAGATGTAATACCTGATGAAATCACAGAAATAAATTACATTTTAAATAATATTATTATTGCTTATTGTTTTAATAGTGCATTAAATTAAATTAAAAAGGCTATAATCTGACAATTTAGCATTGCATTGCATAAAAACATTGCATAAAAAATTTACACTAATACGCAATATCTATGTCAAAACTACCTCAAACAAGTCCACTGAAGGCCTGTCCTACTGTCTGTCATCGTGGTAGTTTTTAAACACACAATGCTGTCTTTCAGGCACAGCCAACTTAGTCATTTCGAGGTGGGCAGCAACTGAGTAGTCTAAGGTTTAAACTGCTACCATTAGTGGTTTCTGGGCCAGGCTTGTATTGGAGAGAGAGAGAAACCCAATCTGAACCATTAGCCTGAGTGAAAGCCTTTCAAAATACATTCCGATCCATGCACAATGAGCGCGTAACACTGCGATACATTCACATCTTTGAGGTTTCATTAAACAATTTGCATGCAATTGGCTGTGTTACTTGAGCTCACACAAGCTGAATGATCAACCTCAATGGTTTGTGTGCAGGGTGTAAATGCGTCTGAATGTGATGTTGAATAAACTCGTGTAAGGATTTGACTGAATGATTGAATAACCACACTGTCTTTGAAGAGATACAGAGCTGAGCGGAGTAAGCCATGCACAACAAGAGATATATGAAATTAGCCAAACAACAATCTCGGAGAAAACAGGAATTGTGTAACACAACGATTAACTTCCACTCGACATTTATCTCAACGATCAATTTTATGTACGTCTGGCAGGTTCACTTTACAAAGAACATTTGTCTGATCTGTAGTCGCAAACTTTCTTGGTGAATTAGTTTATGTAAGCAGGGAAATGGACTATGATGTTTTAAGACTGACAAGGCCATAAAACTTTACCTTGAAGTCTTTTAAATCTTTCATGGTCGTACTCATTTTCCTAATTATATAACATGTTGTTCCATATCCTCTTTGCAAATAACTGTGTGTTATGATCTCACAATTATTACATTTGGTTAAGTAAACATTATGCGCTGTCTAATGGAAGATGTGCAGAGTTTTTTTTAACACAAAAGGTGAAGTTTGTCTTCAGAGCACATAACATGCCTTGGGCAAGCATTTCACAAAAACCTTTGCGGAACAATAAACAAGACGCCGGATCAGACAGAGTTGAAAATGTGAAACACAGATGAGTGTATCTGTGAGGCTTTGCTGATGGAAATTCCCCTAGTGATTTGGTGAACTCTCGTTAACGTATCACCTGCAAATGAAGACACACTAATCAGGGTATTTAAAAAAATAAAAACATCTTAGGGGTTTTCACACAAAGATGGACAAAGACATTGCACCAAACCACTTTCATCAGTCATCATCATTAAGGAAAATTCAAGATGTTACAACCTTATAATCCTTGGCCTGAAAACAAAATCAAGGGTTAATTATAGGGTTAGTTTTTATCCCTAAAAATAAAAAAAGACATCATGTACCCTCATGCTGTTCCAAACCTGTTCTTTTGGAACAAAAAAGAAGATATTTTGAAAACCGACTCAGTGTGTTTCTGTCAATTATGTGTGGGAGTAATCTTTTATAATATTTTCTTTTATGTTCTGCAGGAGAAAATCAGTCATACATGTTTAGATCAACATGGTGTCTGTTTGAAGTTTTTATTTTTAACTTTAGATGATTAGTATCAGGATGAAACATGTTCTTCTGTGACTTGCAAAATTTATGCTCCACTTTCCAGTTAATTGCTATATACATAAATTAAAAACATACACACATAAGATAAAGCCCTATAGAAAGTAATGTATGTTATGCTTTGATGCGACTATGCATGTTAGGAATGCTTTTGACATTGCATGTCAAAACACAGAGCGCAGTTTGGTAGCAAACCTAGATTTCATCTTTAAAACTTTTCGAGCCAGTAAAAAAAGGACAAAATTTGATGAAAAACCTGGATGTTAATTTTTATTTTTTATTTTTTTTAATTTTTTTTTGTAATCCCACTTGCCTTCTCAATTGTTTGCAATCTCCACACCTCATGTACACGTCACAACATGAACGTGTGCCTCGCTACTGTAATGCATCAGTGAAGTTTTGCCATCTTTTTCAAAAAATGCCCAGGAGAGAATTTCATGTTTTGGTATTGCTCACCTGACAAAAGCAACTCTTGAGGTGTGGTGGATGAATGAGCTTGCAGACTGACAGACTGCGTAAGCCAGAATTCTGTCAGCTCGCATCTTAATCCACAGGTTTCCTCTTCTCTAAACATCACGGAACAGCAATTTTTCTCCAGCCTCTGGGGAATAACAAAGACAACAGGGGTTAATCAAGAGCTCATTGCTAATTAATACAATTCAGTAGATTTCAACAAGGAAATTTCTCAACTAAACTAAAATGCCAGTTCTAATGCAGGCCATGTCTTGCCTTTCTTGTGCAGTGACATTTTCACTCCTGACATTTGCCTCATAATATAGTGTGTGCTGACAAATGACATCAACACATTACATCAGTTCTATACAACCAAGTACAATGATAACTCAAAGATGCAAAACCAAACTGTCCCACACATCCGACAAAGAACACAGTCCCTGTGTCTCACAACATCTCAGGCCTTTAAGTGGAGATAAGAGAGTATGAATGAAAGTGTTTGTACTCGAGCAGTGCAGGCCATTGACTGGGCGAGATGAGAATCACCCTTCCCCTTATCAGAGCCCTCAAAGCGAACAGATCAGGCCGATAGGGAGGGTGCAGAGCTCCACAATGCCAGAGATTGCACAAGACATAAGGGCAGTTGCAAAGAACAAATGCAAGAAGCACAGTCTCATGTAGCCACATTCCCTGTGTTTTCTGAGGTGAGACAGCGGCGCAGCTGAAACAATGCAACTCCAGTCATTTAGATGGTGTGATTCAGTTATGCTTAATAAATTTATGTACAATTAACAGAATTCCTCAGAGTAGGAAGACAGAAAAATTCCATTACCATCACAGAGGTGATCTTGAATTTGCCGTGTTTATATATATATATATATATATAGTGCCCCTGACATCCAAAAATAGCCCATTGGCAGGTCAATGCCTGGACATCGTCCTGTGTGCTTTCAGCGGTACCACTCCTAACAGGTGGTGTATTTTCCATGGCCTGCTTTGGAACACCACTTCCTGGGAACAACCCAATTTACGGAAAATAACAAAACCACTGCTCTCAGGGGACGTCCTCCAACTTCCGACCTTTCCCAGAGATCTGAAAAGATGAGTCCAAGCATCACACACAACTTTGCTCATGCATATACAAGAAAAGGAGGAGTCAGTGTTTCTTCTACTTTTGACACTTTTATGTCCGTTTTTTTTTTTTTTATTAAAACAAATATCATCTTATTTTCGTTTCATTGTTCAACAAAGTGTGAAACAGATGTAAATCATTTCAGTATTTACTGTGCGAATTTTCCACAAAGATAAACAATTTTGCCTCAAAAAGTTTTATCAAAAGTTAATTTTTGTTACTGTCTTTACTAATTATTAATTTTACCTTATTATGCAAAAGGTGTGAAAATTTTTTGTTTTAATTATGTATATTCAGAGTTTTAAAATGATATTTAAACTAAAAAAGAAATAAAGTTAAATTAATTATATTATATTATAAATTAATTTATATATATTTTTTTTTACCATAGAATAATAGTGAACACATCATTTGAGATGTGGTGGAAATTTGACAAAACACGCATGTTGGGCATTGTTAAAAAATAAACTAGTGAGGGGTAAATTAAAATGTGTTTTATTTTCTAAAAGATCACAATGTTAAAACTGCCCGTATTTAAAGAAACACACAGGCGGGAAATATTGGCGCACTTTTGTTAAACGCATGCGCAAAAAGGCTTTCCCTTGTTTACTAGTGTTAAAAAAAGTTTGGAGTAAACATTCACACTGGCCTGATATAAGATACCCTTTGAATGAACTATTATTGTAAGATACAATTTTTAAAAAGTTGTAATAAAAACATTAGGTTCAGGTTGAACAATCGTCAACCTAGTAGAAACTAACTGAAAGTGTCATTTCCGAACGATAAGTTAGTTTGTTTGATAGTGAGGTTCGTCTGCTTATCTGTCTACATGAGATTGCAGTGAACCGGTAGCCTATTATATGCTGATCATAATGGACTCGTAATTTGAGTGGCCTCACCTGCTTTTGTTTGAGGTGGTACAGTGATCTTGCATCTCTCGAACTTGAAGTTCACACAGGGATGTATTTGGCTTTGGCCGCATCTCTTGGTGCTCTTGGTATTGGTGGAGCTCCCTCTAGTGGCCAAGAGTACAGTAGCTCTGTCGTATAAAGGCCTATGCATATAACATTGCTGGAGACACAATTAATCCCTTTATTATCCTGGAATGTAGTTTTACTATAGACCGCTTTTTATCCTTATTTTACATGACATATGAGTATACACCCACCCATCAATCAATCTGACACTTTATGGTTGAAAACATTTTCATTATAGCATGGAGAACACAAACAAAACACTGTTCATCATCTACTAGTTCTGCCACGGCTGTGTTTGTCCATAAATCAATGCCTGATTCACATACAGATATGCTGATGCATGGATGCACTGCTTACAGATACGATAATAAGCAATTGCATGTGTAGGGACCAGGGGTCACATGTTTTACAGAACACTAGGGATTGTTATTCATGGATTGGACTGTGAGGGATGCTCATAGACAAAGCAAATCAATTTCAGAGCTGTCCGAGTGCAAATAAAGATTTCAAAACAGAGTTGATAAGACACTTGTCCTCACTTCTTGACATTACAAATATAAAAAATTGTAAACTGCAGCATCATTCTTTTTGTTTCATGCCACTAGTTGAAAGCACAAACCATCTATTATGGAATGAAGAGTGCTGACACATTGTTTACATTAATATTTGTGTGACGGATTCAAACGGATGAGTCTGTGATGATATAAATAAGCCCTTGAATTTATTTAGCTTGGACAATGTCCAAAACAACCTTTATAGTTCATGCTTCAGACTTACAATTATTTCACTGAATAGGGATCAAAGGAGCCATGCTGAAGCTGTTTGCATCATTTCTGCAATATAAAAACCCTTCTTAGTTACTCTTGGGTATTCTGCTTAGCACAAGCTCATTAATAAAACTACATGAAGTGCACAGAGAATGCAATCAAGCCAAACATATTAAAAGTAAAAGCTGAAGGGCTTTGTTTGTCTTTTCCATACTGTCTACCTCAGACAAAGAAATCAGTTCCAATACCTGAGCATTATTTTTAAGTTGAGCAAGTAGCACAATGCCCTGTATTATGAATTGCGCACACGTAAATTGCAATTGTCGAACCCAACAAAGGGTATTTTTATTTGTCTAATGAAGTATCTACTGTTATATAAGTTAAATGATACTCATTTCCTAAAGTGGTAAAACTACATTAGGCCTTGCATTAAAAAGAGATCTTTGAAACCAATCATTATTATTCGGTTGTATTGTGACAGTAATGACACAATTGTTACACAATTGTTCTGTCTTAAAAGCTCTGTTTAAAAAAAAAAAAATGAATAAGACATATTTGTGTAATATGGAGCAGTTTCGGTGCATTTCACTGCAATTTACTATTATTTTACCCCAACAATACAGACTAAATAAATTAAATTTTTTATGTGCTATAATTATAAGTGGTGATGCATTTACTCAAGGATGCTTTTAGCTTTAAGATGTGAGTGAAAATCTATTTTCTCACTTAATTAAAGATGGAACAGTTGAGAGAACGGGAATGGAATGTGGGTATAATGAACATCCATGAAACATGGAAAAAGATAATAATTATTCACTTATTCACGTAGTCTTTGTGCATAGAAAAATATTAGATATGAAAGGAAAATTGTTGACATGATTTGCTGTCGGAAAACTTTTTGAGATGCATTCCATAAAGCTCTTATCATTTATTAAATACTATGAAAGCAGTAATGTTTCTCTGTTATTGTTATTTTTCCCTCTCTCATGGTGCCTACTAGCAAAACATTATATTTAATTAACTGACCTGATGGTAAAATTCATTCAGAGGTAAGTTAATTATTTATTATTTAGTTATTTCATGCATGTTAACTTATGGGAATCATTTAAATAAAAAATATGAGGTCCTCCCCTAGTGTCATTTTAGAACTACAGAGAGACAATTGTGATGTTTTCATTTTTCCTTTATTTCAATTCTAAAACGTTATTATTCATAGAAAATAAATAAAAAGATAGAAAGGATAAGAGTGTACATGTGCATGGAAATCAAAGTAACCTATCCATCAGAAGATATATTAAAAGATGAGATGATAAAAGACAAAAAAAGCTATAATAAATGTTTGATTTCACAGATCCAGAGATGATGAATCAAAGCCTGATTAAATGACGAGCTTTCAGTACACCAGTATAATGTTAAGCTATATTAGGCCGCACCGAGGCCTCAGCTCTGAACCATATTTCTGTGAACTGATGCACTGACCTGTGGGATCACGGTCAGGTGAGGATCTGCTGCAGACCACCAAGATGCCGCTAGATTTATTAACTAAAGCAGGGATGCAGCTAAATGGATTAATTCCAAGTCTTTTGTGGAATAACTCGGATTCAGACCTCCAGGAAGACATTTATCCAAAACTATCCAAAGAACGGTTTAGAATTTAAGCTTATGCATGCTTGGCTTTACAGTTAAAAGTATCAATCATATTTTTCATGGAGGCATCGTCTGTTCATTTACTCTAGAATGTGCATAAGCTGGACCTGCCTTAAATGTTTTTCTTTTTTTTAAAAAATGATTTATGATATAATTCTTGTCAGTTTTTATTCCTGATGTGAAATATTCTGTAATGTGTCACCTGTCTTCAATGGATGCCTGTAAACATCTTTCTCGCTTTACTTTGACAGGTGAAGAGATGGGTTGCGACATATCTATGATGCATAAATGTGTGTTACGCATGACTCCTCCACGCCAGCTGGATAGAACAGATAAGGAAAATCAGCCCATATAGGCATTACAATAACAATTTCACACTGCCCATGCCTCAATCCTGCTCCAATTTACAAATAATCTCAGATCGGTTGTACTTCCGCACTGGATAAATAAAACGCCTGAGATTTGATTCCAGAACCGCACCTGAGAAGATGCACACACACACACACACACACACACATACATACAGTGACTCAAATGAAGGAGCTCCATTTATTGATATGTTTCCTCATGAGCAAATTCCTCTCAAATTGCCCCTTGCTCTTCTGTAGACCACACTGTCATGCACACCTTCACCACAACAGTGCAATATTGTACACTTTTGGTCTACACAAGTAATGTTAAACAAATTTTAATGACCAAAAATTTAATATTTAGTGTCCCACATGTTTCTGTTAGAGCATGGCAGGAAAGACAATTGGGGAATTTTTTTTTTTTTAATGTTTAGAAACACTATGAGATACTTAAGATATCATATCAGTTATGTTAATTATATTATTATATCTTTTTATATTAAATAACAATTAATAATACATATTATTTTACATTTTTTGCTAGCCATCTCTTACATCTAAGTGTATAAAATGTGTATAAATGCACAGTGTGCTTTTCAGTTCTCTGATTTCATCTTTGGGATGTTCTACAGTACATGTAGTGTCTTGAGTGAGTCTCTTCTTTATTTAATATGGCATGTTGCAAATGCTTTTGATAACAGATAAACTGTTTTCTTTGTGTAATAGGCTGTTCTATTCAGAATACCATCTTGTATCTTAAAAAAAAAAACATACGTGTGTAAATTAGGGGATTTTTTTTTTTTGCTCCACTATGGCCCTCTCCAAGAATAATATTTCACTACCTCCACTGAAATCGGTGTAATTATACCTATTACAAAGAGATAAAAATCAAATGGGAGCCCTGACTTACTGTTTGTATCTGACACAACATGACTTTACTGTAGCTGTATTTTAGATGAATTATTATGGATTATTGCAAAACACAAAGGTATGCTTGAAATAAATATTGTGTAACAAATGAATGCTTTGTGAGGAAGATAAAACAGATTATCCCTGTTTAATTAAAACATAACAACAAACAAATGGATTATTCTCACGCATAGGGTTTACTGGTGTTGCTATGTTAAACATAGATAAAAACCATATAACAAAGCTCACTAGATGGACAAAACAGCCAAAAATGACTAGTCATTATACCAAAAGCTGACTCTATATCTTTGTTTTTATTACAATTTTTGATCCTAGAAGATATTGACACCCTATAGTAGGTCAAAGGTTTGAACTCTGTGCTCTCTGATGTTTTTATACAGGCACTGTGTTTTTGCTCATGCTGGAATGGAAAATGTGAGCATATAGTATTTGATGGGCTGACACTAAAACAGGTTATGCAAGTGTGTTGTGCAAGTGAGCATTCCTTCACCAGCCACAGGATAGTAATTAAATTAACATACTGCCCTTTAAAGCAAATCCTTCTCTCTTTATGATCTGAGCTTTATTATAATTCTGTCTCAGTGGATTTAGAAAAATCAACTTCCAAGAAAAGTGTAAGATATCTTGCCATTTTTAAACTTTCCTTCAAAACAAAGAGAAAATGTGTTTAACTCATTTAATTATGGATGCATATAGGACACTGATAGATTCAGATACAACTAAAGAGTTTAAACCATTTATATATATATGTTTCTGGTGTATTTTCTGGCCACGTCTCCCCTGGAAGCTTTTCTGAGAAGAACTAGCATTTATTTGCCCCATGTTGTACCCTCACCCCCTGAGGTGCTGACCACTTGAGTTATCAAAAGACACCTACTGATAACCATCTAGACTCTATGTTTCGTAGAGCGGTGACATGTTGAACACACTCTCACACATCCACAGTCATGCATGGATATGTACAACCACACACAAACACTCTGAAAGGTGCTGCATGTTTTTTTTTAATTTTTTTACTGCACTAAAGCTTAAAAATACCACAATATGTTTGCAGATACTTAGGAAACATGCTAAATTCACATTCTTGACATGTGGGTTCGGTGTTGGAATATCTGTTTTTGTTTTGGTCTATGTGATTCCGCCCACTGCCAGTTTACCCAATAGTATGTCGACACCCCAGGTTGCCAGTTGATGGAAAACACAGCATTTTGCATCTAAAGAAGTGGGCAAATAAACTGGGTCAGAGATCGCAGATTCTACCCGATCTAAAAAGCCTCGGCATCCATCTGAATAGCATATTAAAACACAGATAAATCAACTCATCAACTTACAGTGTAGGATCATCACCTTTCACTGTCAAATTGCCCTCATTCCTGTGTGCTGTCAATCTGGAAACCTGCATTAGTCTCATATCTGAGGAGGAAGGGGCTGGAGAAACTCTCATCAATATTTTGAATTTGGACTGCAGTACCCATTTCAACCGCTAGATGTCAACATAACGTCTCGGTTACGTATGTACCTTTCAGTCGGTCACGCCGAGTCACGTCGGTGACCGACGAATTAGGATCCCTACCAATGCGCCATGGATGTTGCCCCTTCCAGTGTCCTGTGCGAGCCGCCTGCGCTCCTTTGTGGTGTAGGCCGGGGCTCGCAACAAGAAGACCAGTCACTGTTGTCATAGCACTACCCACTCAGTGAGATTGGATAACACTGGGAAAACGTACCCGTGCCACTTGGAACAGGAACGTTGCGGAAGCCCCATTCTTCCCGAAGGAGGTTGCGGAATCACTTACACATATGACATCCGTTTAGGTGCATATGGAAGATTGTAACCCTCATGGAAATGGCAGAAGTCTGCCGGGGAAACACGGGCTC